AGTAAGACTAATTATTTTATATGTTTAGCAACGTGCTGTAGCCAGGCTCAGACACATGATCCATTTGGTAGGGCACCGGGATATAGAAGGGCCCCAACTTTAATTTTATATATAATAAATCACAGTATGAAAATGATATAAAGTTTCTTTTGATAAGTGATGAAGAGCTGTCTTTAAGTTATATTGAGTTTATGACTGTAGAAGCTCCCAAAGTGGGCGCTACCTTCCCCTCGAGGGCGATAGAAGACTCTCAAGAGGGTACTAGAAGGCAAAGGGGGACAAAAATTCACTTTGAAACGAGGAATATATGCACTAAAACGGGGGGTAGTGCAAAAAGTTTGGGAAACACTACTTTAGAAGAAGTTTAGGGCATATATTTGTAACTGCCAGGACCCCATTTCGCTTCTGGTTATAAGATTGTGAAATATAGGAAGGCGAAACTCGAAGACGTGGAAGTTATGCTTCAAATTTCTAAAATCTTTTTGTCTTAACCGCAACACTCAGTCCCATTTGTAACTTTAGATGATGTGGATCCTCCCTCCCTCGGCTTTCTATTCATTCCCTAGTCTTTACGCTACAGCACATCACGAAACTATACACAAATAGTAAATAGACAGACACAACAGACACATTTCAGTCGAAAATAGAAGGGAGAATATTTTTAGATTCACGTTGTTTTTAAAACGAAATTCAAGGAAAAAAATAATAATAATTTTGATTCTTCCAAGTTTATTAAATGATTATTGAGCTTTTAATATTTATAATCGATGAAATTTCCACTAAAAATTACTCTAATTTTTAAATTTAACTTTTTTTAAATCCTTAAAACTACATGCCTCAAACAAGAGCCTCGTTTAACTTAACGAGGCCCTAAACTAACTAAAAAGTTAAATTTTTCTATTATTTAAACCTTCCTATACAAACTGTTAAACTAAGGCCCTTTCAAAGAAAGGGCCCTAGTTTTGTTAGATTGTGTAGATACACCCAGGATGGACGAAAGGAAGGAGAAACCGGAGCTGTAACTCTAGGGTTGGGCCCTCATAAAGGCTCGAACCGGAATCTGTACAATAAAATTTAAAATTGTGAATTCTAGAAAATTAATTTATGTAATTCCTAGTAAATAAAGAGAGAGAAAAAAAGTATGGTAAACCACGTTAGAAGAAGGTGAAGAGGCCTAGAAAGCTTTAGTCTCAGGGTCCGTGATTGCCCTTCAAGGCCATGGATATGTACAGTACAGTATCTTGATTATTGTATTTGGGCCTGAGAGAATTGAGATTGAGTAGGGTCAGTTATAAATGTGGGCCCCCTTCACTCTACGAAAGCCATAAAAATATACGAATAAAATCAATAAAAATAAGTTTATTCGTCACTTACCAGAAGAAACTTTATATTACTTCTTATCATATATTTTTATCTAACTGTTAAAAATCCTATTGGACCCGAGAGAGATGAAATAGATCCCGAGCCAAATACATAACATATAAATCCTATACGAAAGCCATAAAAATATACGAATAAAATCAATAAAAATAAGTTTATTCGTCACTTACCAGAAGAAACTTTATATTACTTCTTATCATATATTTTTATATATAAAAGACTGAATTTTAAGGCCTTTATATACGAGATTAGAAACAAATGGCCCTAACGATTTTGAAGGTTTACATATTTATTTAAATATCTACAATTGATAAATATCCTATCTTTATCCTACATCAGTAGGGCGAAAGATAGGATGAAGACGTTTTAAAATGAAATTTCAGATGGCAAAGAGACGTCGTAAACAATTCAAGAATTTCGTTCCAGGAATGTTTTATTACATTTAACGTCTTCATATTTTATTTCTGGAGTGATAAATTGCTTTCTGCTTCTTTATAATTGTGTATTTATACACATTTTATTACTTTATGTCTCACATTAGCGAGTTGATGTGATTGGAGTCGCGCACTTTAATCGGGTTTTCACATATCAATTGAAATTAGGATACTGTAATTACGTTATCTGCAGTAATAGAAATTCGAGAAAATAATATTTCTGATTTAAAAAATAATATTATAAGTTAAATTCTCCTTTAAGAAGTAGCGAATAAGTCTATTTTTATACGTTTTACTGGTTTTATTTATAAATTTTTATGACTTTCGTAAAGAGCGAGGCTTACGTTTACAGGCCTCATCTCACTCTTTCAAGTTCTGTATTAGTATAAGGCTCTTAATCTATTGATCTATATTTACCTTTATTGAATACGCTATACGTTATACAAAGTTAATGTGAAAGGCCACGCGGTAAGCAATTACTTTATTACTATTGCATACGGGCTAATTTATTGCATCTCTGCAATAATAAAAGATAGTAATGCTGATTAAATTAGTGTGATATAAGTTTAATTTATGAGATATATAAAAATAATAAGGAAGAAAAAGAAACTGAGACGAAGAAAATGTCGGTCACGCAATCTAAGATTGTATCGTATAAAGCTTAAAGATTTCAAATCTAGTATAAAATAAAATAAATAAAATCGATTCTTGTTTAAAGTTTACAGTTGATATCAAAATGTAATCCAGCTGTAGATCGTTTACAAAGATATTAAGAAGAATTTCTATCGAAGTAAGTTGACAACACCCGTCTAGAAATATGGGTGTTGTCACTTTGCTTCCATTCGGTAAAGATAACCTGACAAGATACTTCTCTATTGTGCAACTCCATAAAAACTTTTAAAAACTGAGTAAATCACTCCAGTATTTTTGCGGATTTTTCTTTTTCTTTCAAGTTTAAAAACTCGCAAAGATTTATGTATTTTAATGTACGTTACGTCCCCATCTGTCCCTTCCCAACGATCCAACCGGAGATTTTCTATATTCCTTCCTCCACACAGCGATATTCCTTCGCACACACGAAGAAATTTACTATAAAACAAGGGCTCTCGGGCCACCTATAAGGGTTCGGGCCCCTCGATAGGCAAAGGGGGACAAAAATTCACTTTGAAACGAGGAATATATGCACTAAAACGGGGGGGTAGTGCAAAAAGTTTGGGAAACACTACTTTAGAAGAAGTTTAGGGCATATATTTGTAACTGCCAGGACCCCATTTCGCTTCTGGTTATANTCCCTTCCCAACGATCCAACCGGAGATTTTCTATATTCCTTCCTCCACACAGCGATATTCCTTCACACACACGAAGAAATTTACTATAAAACAAGGGCTCTCGGGCCACCTATAAGGGTTCGGGCCCCTCGATACAGCAACGTCTTCTCCCTCTGGTCAGGGCTGGTGATGTATCTATCTAGTTGTAGGCAGTGCGTTATACCGGGGCTTGATTGTTTACGAGCACTTACGAGAAATTTATGTTAATTCATTTTAATCACCATTACGTACAGTCTACATTTTAAAAAATGCTGATCCATTTCATAGTATTACTTTAATAATATAATAACATTCATTATCATAATCTAGGGGTACGGTCAAAGCCGGATTTAGACTTGTCCCAAGCTATACGAGAGGCCTTTATCTTTTCACTAAATTATAACGAATTTAAAAGCGTGAGGCCCTACGATATAGGTTGTTTGGCTTATTTGTAAATCGCACTGTGGGTATAGCGAGGGAGTGGCAGAGAGGTATGTGCCTCTGGCGTTAAGTGAGAGAGGGCTCTATGAACTTGAATCAATAAACCAGCGGATTAGAACTCACTACGTGTGAACATATGGGTTAAAAAATACGGCGTATACGACTTATTTTACGAAAAAAAGTGGCCTAATATTTCAAGACAATGTATTTTAAAATAATTAACAGCGAATACTCGCTCCTCTATTATACACGAGATGGGAAGAAATTCGAAATCACTCTTACAAGTTACGCATATATGAGAAGGGGGATAAGTAGGAAACCCCCTATTAGTACATACGTAGAGAGGGGGATAAATGCTAAACCATCTCTCAGAGCACGTAGAGAAGGGGGATAAACACGAAACGGAAATTGGTAATTCAGATGGAGATTTCGTTTCCCATCCTCACTCCTGTCCGATCCTATTACTGATCAAGCTTGTTCGTTCGTGATAAGCAAACTAAAGTCTGGTTGCTAGCTGATACCTCGCCCGAAAGAATCTAATTCAATCTCATTAGAAAACAGAATAAATATTTCCCACTTGCTTGGGTTGTTATAACATTTATCGTGTTAATGAAGAATGTAAGATTCGCTTCTCCATCAAATTCACTTTTTCTGATTACAACTTGCTTTCTTCTTTCCATTGAGCATCTGATTTATATGCTAATTATATAAATATTATTTATATCTTATCATTTTTATATTAGATTCTAAATCTTCTCAAATAATAAATAAAAACCTCAAAAAAAATGTGCCAGACTGACAGATCGAAAACTCTATTTAATCTACGTGTTATGAATTCGTAATTAACTTTGTTATAATTTAAATTAATTATAACAAAGTTAATTACGAATTCATCGGATCAAAGTTAATTACCATCTAAAATAATTAGGAAAAGAGCGTAAGAAAAGTCAGATAGATCAGGACCCAGAAATAAGTGTGGTGCCTCATCCTTCTCCGAAAGAGATGTGTCAAATCTCGATTTAGTATGGCAGTAAATCGAGTGTGGCATTAAACTGAAGAAACTCAAACAATAAGGATTGTATATATAGTAACGTAAACACGTGTTTGAGTTTAAAAATTACTAAGGTCTACACCTCAAAAGATCTTGTACTTTTCGAATGTACGCTTTTCCTTTTTAAATTACACTATTATCATCAAATTAACTAAATAATTATTAGTATATTATCAGTTTTGTGTCATTGTAGAAAGGAGTCGACAAATTAAATCTGGTTTTTCAAGCAATGTTAAAAACGAGATTTAATTTGGGAATCCATTTTTATAAACTATTCGTATAATAATATACAGTAATTTAGTATAATAAACTATAAGAATGAAATTATGAGATATATTTTCAACTTAATTCAACTATTTCTTAAATTAATTCATATCATATTTGCAGGAAGGATTCTTGGAAAGGAGAGATTCCAATCCGGAAGATCATCCGCAAACATTTTTGCAATTTGCCCTCTTTAATTTCAAAAGAAGTTTAAATGTGTAAACTACGCCTTTCTTCCTTTTCATTACTTAACGAGGCTTTCCTACATTTTACTTTTAATCAAAAACTCCTTAAAAATATTATTTTTTTTTTTTCAACTTTAGTTACGAAAAGTTGAAAAACAAACAAGAGACAACACGCTCTACTGTTAAATTGGTAGAAACAATTAGAGAAAGATGTCGAGGTAGAAGATCTAACCAATGGACTTGGAAGGAATTAGTAGATTTAGTTAAATATTCTGAGGTGATTTTTTTTTATATAAACTTATAATTTTTACTTCTGCCTTAACGAAATTAAACTATGGTTTTTTTAAGGTTCCCATTGAAGAATCTTTACTCTCCTTACCATCTGCGGAACATAACAAAATGGCTCTAGAGTGCTTTAAATGTAAGAATTTTATTTTATCTAATTTGAAAATAAGTTAATAACTTTATTTTCTATTCTTTTATCATTTGATTTGAAAGATTTAAGAAATTTATTTTCAGGTATAATGAGATATATGGGCGATTTTCCTTTGAAAACGAATCAGACCGAGATAGATTGCCTCTATACAATTTTATCTGTGAGTATATTTACGAGATATACTTATCTCCGGTTAAGATATAGTGAGAAGTTTTTTCCTAGATATCTTATAGATGGAGCGATCTTCGGGATGAAGTGTACTGTCAATTAATCAAGCAAACTACCAACAATAAAAGTCCCAATAAGTAAGAAACGAGTACTATATCAAACGTAAACAGTCTTTTTTCATTTTCTAAATTATTTGAAAAATTTTTAGAGATAGTTGTCTGAAAGGTTGGAGAATGATGATGTTACTAACGGCATTTTTTCCTGTTTCTGATATATTAAAGCCTTATTTCATGCACCATCTCGAAACCGTTTCTAATGACGAGAGGAGGAACTTCTGTGGTCAGTACGCTATAAAAAAAAAAAGTAATTAAATTAAATAGTTTATACTAGAAAAGTTTTATTTATTTATTTTTAGAAAATGCTCGCATCTGTCTAAAGAATTTGCATAAAACATTAAAGTGTGGAGGAAGAAAAAACGTCCCCAGTTTAGAAGAATTAATTGCTTTATCGGTAAGTCGGAATAATGCATTAAATATATGTTTTCAATCTTAATAACGGTTGAGAATATCTTCCAGAACGATAAAATTATTAAACAGCAAGTGTATTACATCGCTGGGGGTACTAAACTAATTGTTGACACGTGGACCACTAGCACCGTCCATGATATAATTCGTGAAATATGCTACTTTCTAAACGTTCGACGTGATCTCGAGATGGAAGAATTCGGCTTATATTGTATCGTAGAAGGAGGTTAGTTTTGTCATCAAGACTTTGTCGTAAAGATAATATTCTTTATAAATTATCTACATTTATTCTAGATCCTTACACCTTGCCATTGCAATCGGACGAATACGTTTTAGACGTTATGACAGAATTAACTAAAAATAATTACGTCTTCTACCTGCTTTTCTCCAGAATCGTTTGGTATCATCCTGTAAGATTAGATAATCATCTGTACATAGAAATAATTTATAATCAAATGGCCCCAGATTACATGGACGGACTGTTTTTACTTTCATCAGGGCCACAACTAGGAGAACAAACAGAGGTGAGACTCCTTACCGCAACCTATGACCTTAAAAACGCGTTTTTAAACGATCGACGAAAGATAAAAGGCAGAAACTATTTCTCACTTGTCACTTAGAAAGGAGACTATACAAAGATGCAATTGTTGAGTGATTGATCCGCTTACGTTGCTTCTGCAGTTGGCAAAGATTCATTAGAAGAAATGATTTTTGCTCTTACAAATAACAACATCAATCACGATTGATTCTAATTTACTGTCACCTTTGGGCGCCACTTAACACACAAAAAGAACCATAATAGCTTTTCTGACTTAAGGTTTTTCTTATTTTCTACTTTGTTTAAATTTTCCTTCCAAAGCTACATTCTGACAATAAATATTATTATAATTTAGACAATTATTACAGTATTTTTAATGAGAAAATATCAAAGAATTGATCTATTTTCTGTATTATAGGAAGAAATTGCTAGGATAGGAGCTCTTCTTCATTGCGCATCGAATTTCTCAGAGACACCCAAGAAGTGAGAAAGAATTTCGTTCTTTTTACTTCCTAAAAATAATTAATATTTTAAAAATATAAAACTAAATTTTTCAGTCAAGATATACTGTATCTTCTTCCCAGAACTCTTCCATATTTATCAATACTCTCTTTCGAGCAATGGGTAAGCAAAGTGTGCCAATGTTGGGAGGAAGTAAAAATCTTAACATCTCTCGAAGCTAAAGCGCAATGTTTAGGTAAGTAAAAACTTATATAATTTTTTAAAATATCTTTATAAAAAAAACATATAAATTTAATCGTATTTTTTTGCAGATATCCTTCAAAAATGGCCTCTATTCGGTTCGTCTTTCTTCACTGTTATGGTGAGTCTTTCAATATAGAAAATCCATATATGAAATTTATCACGAAATTATATAAAATAACCTAAAATTTCAGTTGATGAAAGAAAATTTGGAAGTCATAGACCACGTTTTAGCCATTAATAAGAATGGAGTTCTTTTATTGGATATCGATTCTCATGTAAGTGTCTTCCTGAAGTTTCATAGGAGGAGGGGGGGAAAAAAATAGAATTTCTTACCGTAAATTTAGGATGAAACATTTTTTTACTGATAAGCAAATGGAAGACATTTTTTTCTAATCACACTTTAAAATTAAAAGTTGGATTCTTTCAGAACTTGGTAAATTTCCGATCCTTGCTGATTCTTCTCTTCGAAAGATCAATAATATAAATTAAAGATTTCATTTCATTCTTCCTCTTCTGGAACTGATATAATATTGAAAAGATTTCTGTTCATTAATGCCTTTGCAATACAAGCATTATCGACTCCATTAAGGTCCATTAAAAAGTCATTTAAGTTTTAAATATATTAGGAAATAAAATTTAATCATTACAACTATCAGTCATTTGTAGATTAAAGTATTCCATTTTCGTGTTTTTTTTTTATATTAAAATCATTTATATCTAGAAAAAAAAAAAGCTATGAAATATATTTACTGTTTTGATTATCATTAAGATAAAGTGGAAGTCATCAAGACCGTTTGGTTCGGGCCCCAAATACAATATAGGCCTCAAAATTTTGCTTTTATTTTAATTGAAAATATGAATAAAAGTAATATTTAAATAAATTCCTTCCGCAGGAATGTATTTGGGAAAGTAATTTTACTAATTTGAAAAACCAAAATAAGAAAAAGGAAAAGATTCTTACGTTAATTAATGAAGAAAAACAGTCCATCGAAATAAAATCCGAATACGTAAGTCAAATAAATGGCTGTGTTTAGAGTATATTTAATTAATTAATTAATTAATTAATTTTTCTTTTTTTTTAAGGTGATGGAGATTTTAAGTCTAATCCAGCAATACATCGACGTACAGAGATCGTCATCAATCGTGACAACAATGTGTAATTTTTCAATAAACTCGTAACTCATATTTAAAAAAAAATCTCAATTTTAATTTTATATTATATTTAATGGGAATATTACATAGGGCCTGGCGGTTTTAAGGGCCTCAGACACGCAAAAATTCGTATATTGGTTCAGTTCGTGCAGTTTATAAATGAGAAGGGCCTCGTGATTCCTCTAGGAATCACGAGGCCCTTGATACTTAAATTAAATTCAGTAATAAACTCAAAAAAATAATTTATTTATTTGAACTATTTTTGGAATTATTATCTTAATACGTTTTTTAAAAATACACCAGGAGCCTCAGAAGTAAATGGTGCGGCCTTATCTTGCCCTGTGAAAGGCCTTATTGATTGATATACTTAATTTTATTTATAAAATTTAAAATATAATTTAAATTATGTTCTTCGAGTGAAGAGAATGAAGATTTACGATGTATTTACATTCTGAATGTACAATTTATCCTTGAATTTGAGAAAATGCAGAGAACGTCGGTGAAAAATATGGAAGAAATTACGAGATTTAAATTCAGACTAAGCGCGAATAACTCGAATATTTATGTGAATAATTCTATAAAATATATTAAATTAGCCTATTCCGTATTTGTTATCTTTAAAATATTTTTATTAATTTACGTCTAAATATATTCAAAGATTCTGCATTAATTCGTGTATTTTAGAAAAATATTATCTTTATTTTTGCTATTATTCTTCTTCGAAAATTAATTCTTAATCCTTATGCAAAATATTGGTCTTGTTAGTTTAAAAATTAGAATATTTTGGCTTAAAAATTGTATTTCCTAGTGTATGTAAGTGAAAGATGAAGATTTAATTACATTATATACGTAGCAATCTTCTTTGATTAGACTAGAGTGGGGAATATGAGGCCTTTTGTCGCTTCTAGTAGTTCTAGTAAAGGCATTTAAATATGTATACTTTTTGTGCATTCATGCCAAATATATAGAGGAACTTGGCCCAGTACCGAACAGAGTTATTTCTGTCCATCTCTTTCACTGGCAGATAGATATTGGTTATCGCCATGACAGCACAAGTAAGGCATGCGAGCCAATAAGTTCAGTGCAATCTCAAGAAGATATTGACGTGTGAAGACCATTCCGTGTTGCATCCGTGCAGTGTTTAAAGTTTTGCCCTTTGTGCCGACTTTTTGAAAGAATAAATTAACATTTTATTACATCCACTGAATCTTTTTATGAGACATACAAAAGTATAAGATATAAAAAAGAAAGTGTTATTGTGGAGTGAGACAGTATGGATTCACTCAGTACAGGACAAGGCAAAACACATTGTATTGAGAAAAATCTATATCGGATGCTTTAGTTTTTCCTTTCTTGCCTTTGATGTCAACTTCAAGCGATTTCCAGAAAATACTTGAACAAATCTTTTCAATCTTAAATGAAAAAATCAACAAATACCACTCGCCCATGAAATAAGACAACTGTGGAGAATGGATAGGCCTATTGTTCCTATTGTCCTCTCTTCTACTGGTGTTACAACATACACTACATAAGGTATAGTGTATGTTGTAGGTACACGTCTAGAAACATTAAATATTAAAAATTATTTTGAGTGGTATAAATAATTAAAAGTTAGCAATATATTTGTTGTTATCCATTCAGTCGCTCACGACCCTTGGTGATCCTTTTGGCAAGTTTCCTCCACAGTTTCCTATCCTGTACTGCTACCCTCAACTGACTGACGGTCATTCCAGTGTCTATTTTGATGGTATCAATCAAGCGCATTCTCTGATGACCAGGCCTTCTCTTATCACTGACAAGAGCAAGCGTCATGGATTTTTCGAATGACTGTGACCGCATTACACGGGCAAAATAAGTAAGTCTGAGCCGAGTTATTCTTTCTTCTAAGGATATGTCAAGTTTTACGCATTTTAGGACTTCCCTATTAGTCCATGGTATTCGAAACAGCTTCATCCAACACTACAGTTCGAATGCATATTCAGTTAGTTTTATAGATCAAATTCCAGAAACTTCAATTTCTTCACACATTTCTGACCTTCATACCTTATAAGATCCATACATTTATAAGATGCATCCACGAAAGATAAATAAACAATGTGTCTCTACGGATATAGTCATTACGCTGGGGCATAATGATTGAACTCTCAGAAATTTATATACGCATTAATATAAATTTATAGCGTTAATTTTTTCTATTCACAACCGAAACTGTAGGAGTCGGTTATATCTTAACAATATGGCAGCCGTCGTTGTGTTTAACATTATAAATACACATTACAGAATCAATTACTAACAGAATATTTCTTAGCATCGAATTTATAAATTAGTAGCAGCAATATAATAATCGTCCAGTAAATATATCGAAAAGATTGGACGTTTTTTTTTTAATCATACCCATCTCGAGTTCGACCAGGTGCATAATCGTGCAACGAGCTAGAATATTCTAGCTCGTTGCACGATTTAAGCCGGCCCCGACATATGCGGACAGCCTATCCATATAAAATTCCTGGCGATTTCCAATCTGGCTTCGTTTCCAGATACCCAAAGCAGCTTCGGCCTTCCAGCTGTCTATATTAATACTTTTTTTTAACTCTTTCCGCCCTGTGGGCGCTAAGAGGGTCTTTTTTTGCAAGCCCATTATGGGTTCGGCCAGGCCCACAATGGGACTGCCGGGTGGTGAGGGACGGGGCCCGACATATCTGAACGGACCACCCCCCGAAAAATTCCTGGGGATTTCTATATTAATACTTATGAATAGAAAAATTGATCGTATTATATTCAAGTTTTGTTATCAGAGACTAAATTATAACGTTTTAAGACGAAAATAAGCGGTCAAGTGGCCGAGGCGATTTTAGCTCTCTATAGGGTCTTTTTAAATCTTTCCGTCTTGTAGGCACTAAGAGGGCCTCTTTTAGCAAGCCCATTATGGGTTGGGCCGGATGGTGAAGGACGGAGCCAGATATACCGGACGGGCCATCCCCAAAAAATTCCTGGGGATTTTTCGACCCCGGGTCCTCCAGAGCGGTAGGCTACCATCTTGGCCGCTCGGCCATCCGGCAGTCTGAAGGACTAATGGTAATTCCTCCGTAACTTATACGGATAATCAGTCCCTTTTTTTGTCCGTTTCGACCCATAATAGACATAAAAAATGCGCGCTAATCTTATCACCCGCAGCACCGAAAGAATTTCTAAATTGTAATAAATATACAAATTGAACGATATCGTTAATTATCACATAATAATTTATTACGATTTTATTTTAAACATTTTAAATATATTGAAATTGATTTAACGTGACAGTAACGAAAGATAAAGGTTCCGAAAATACTGTAAAAACAAATTGATGAAATTTTCCTGAAGAATTCGAGAGAGGGCGCTGAATGATGTAGATCAGACGAAAGGAAGTCAAAAATTTGACTCTTTAAAAGATACGGCGAAAATAAAAGATAGAAATATAAATAAATAGATAGACTTAATGAAAAATACCGAAAACTTAGCATTTAGACCCTTCTCTAGCGAATTATGCGCGTTTACTATTTAGGTAAGTATTTTCATTAAATTCATTTTGCATTTGAATAATAATTCTCTTCTTTTAATTAATTATCATCTTTTTATCTAATAAAAATGAGATATATTATGAATTTATGCTTTTATTCATGTCTTTATATTTCACAGGTTATTAAAAATCTACACACATTATTAAAAAGAACTTGGTAATTGTTTATAAGCCATACACCAACATTTTCTCACCATTATTTATTATTTGGATCATAAACGGTACCAGAAACCTATTGTGCGCGTGTTACGGAACCGTTCGGCCGCCTTAGAAAACAATAAACTGCTGGAGCAAATGATACGTAAAGAAACTAAATGAATATAATTTGAGTTTATTGATTTCCACTTAATTCTTTTATGGATTAGTCGGGAAATTTAGAAATTGTTCCGACATCCACACTGCTGTGCTCGTTCGTGTAAATGGAATTAAACCATCTACCGGCGTAAAGTTGAAATAGCTGCTTATTTCAACTTTACGTTTAAGTACGGTGCGAAGTTTTGTTCGTTTTAAACTATCTAGACCTCTCTTAAAGAGAAGAACTGCTGAATAGTTTTTCTTATAGAATTAAGTCTCTGACATTTCATGCAAATGAAACTTTTTGAACTGAAAAGACATTGTTTCTTATTATTTCTTTATTATAATTATTCTGAAAAGATAAGTTTCAAAACATCTTTCTTTCTTTCTAGCAAATTTTTTAATTAAAGAAAGATGTTTTGAAACTTAATATACGGAAGTTCTAGCTTACTGTGCATAGAATTGAAAGGATATCTGTATTCTATTATGCTGTATTTCAAATAATGTAACAAATGACAACAAATATAAATTTCTTAGTACTTTTAAATCTCCCGAGTCCAGGAATAAAATGAATATTATGCATTTCAAATACCAAATGTTCAGTTTTTAAAGATGTGCGATCTCTCTAATAATAATCTCTGTAATATCTCTATGATTTTATTGGTATCGTGACTGTTTTGATTGATAGTTGGTACTTCTTTAGTCATGGTTGCCAAATAGATAGTCAATTATCCCAAAAGTGTGTGCAAAATTTCCCAAAATTATGGAATTTTATCAAAAGATTTCCCACAGTAATAATATTACAGATGCAACTTTAATATTTTCAATACTCATAACTTTTTTTTTATGTAAATGTTGTTTGAAGAGTTATTATTGACTTTTCACAATGATTTGTTCTGTTTTATTATTTGAAAATGTATAAACTAGTTGGAAGAAAGAAAAACATACATAAAACTATTTTTAGTTTATATTATTTTATTTTCAAATCCTAATGCGATTTTCATACACTTTTCTCTCATTTCTGTACAGTACATATTACAATGATGACAAACCAAATACTGTATTTAGATGTGTTTGCATGCTTCAAATATAATGCAAGAATATATAAATTCTTAAATTTACCTGCATTATTATATCTTCACAAAGTCTGAGTTATAAGTGCAGACATTTGCAATTATTTTTAATTGATGATGATATATTAAGAATTAGATACTTTACTGTTTATAGTTTATAATTGTATATATTTATTTAATTATTATGGAGAAGAACTTAAGAAATACTAATCATATTTAACATTATAATAATACTCTTTTGGTTAAAAACTTTTCTGTTACAATAAAACAAAAATTTTATTTTATAAAAAAAAATATACAAATACAGTAAAACTTCTCTAACTTGATGCTCCATGGGGCAGGAAAAAACTTTGAGATTAGAGAACAATAAAGTGAAAAATGTTAATTCTGAATAGATTTATAGTTTTACCTCTCTTGCATTATATAAAGAATCTTTGATAGTTTTCTGTTTTAAACAGCATCGACCTCATCAAGAAAAAATATTTTACTGTCATTGAATGCAGACCACCTTTTCTTAAAATACTCAATGTAGCTAATGGAATAAAACAGTTTTATGGGTACGTCTTGAGACAAAGTGAGAAGTCCTCTCGCTTTGGACTGGAAACATTGTCTGCAAATGAACGTTGGACAGTAGATACAACTAACTCCCTAAAAATTTCATGGAAATCTGATAATTAGGATCACTGGATAAATAAATATTAAAATTTGAGTCAGGAAAGTTGAATGTAACATAAATCAACATCAAGGGACCATGAAAATCTTAGACTTTGAAAGAATTCAAGTTTAGGAAACTCAATTTTTAGACATTAAATCCCTATGCTATTTATTGCATATGGGATTTAATGTATATAAATTAAGACCTACCAAATGCTTCATTTTCTTCAAGTTACAGATGTTTGAGTTACAGAAGTTTAACCGTATACATAATAAATGAGCAGAATTAAGAAATATGAGAGATTGAAGGCAAAATCGATTTGACCCTACTACTAATATTTTTATATCTTTAGTTATATGTGGTTGATGATATAAAATTACATAATAGCATCTTGATAGAACTGTAGATGTTTTAACAAGCTTAATCAGAATTATAAAAAAATTTTAAAAGCAGTTTTTAATAATAAGTTATATAATAATTTATTTCCCAATTTTTCTTTTAAAAATATAAAATTCCCCACAAAATTTTTTTTTAGTTGACTTTGGAGATTTTTCCAAAATGGTGACTTTGAATCTGGCAAGTCTGTCTTCAGCATATTGGTTTAATTTGTCACAAGAAAAGAAGTAGACTAGATGCTGAACGTATTTGAAGCTTCTTTTCATAAATAAAAATCTTCAATTGATGAAAATGAGAACAATCATTGATTAATCTATTATAGTTAAAGAAAACAATACTAAAAGAAACTACTGTAAAACTCACATTCAAAATAAAAAATTTGAAGTTTCATTAATTAGAATTTAGGAAATTGTTTTTCTTTTTACTTTTCCTTTTATTTTATCAATTTATTAATATATAGCCTGTAAATAAATAAAAAAAATTAAACAAATATTACTGTAAATAAGATTAACCAAATAAGTTATATAAGATAAGTTTACTAAATATTTGAGGTGTTCAAACTATTCAAGATGTGGTTAATATTTGAACTCAAGAAAAGTGATATTTGTACATTCTAATTTTAATAGAACGTATCAAGATATTTTTTAAATTTCACCAATTTCAGTTTTCAGATTGAAGTATATTTTAGTAGCCATAAAAATTTCTGTTCATATTATATTAAAAATTAAATATTAATTTTTAGCAATTATGTAATCTATATGTACTATGTAGAAATTTCTGAAGTTCTGTGGTATATATTTCAAATGCTCTGTTCTTAAGAAATATAAAATACAGTAAAACTTCTAATCTCAAATTTCTCCTTAAGTTAAACTTAAAATCCAGCAAACATTCTATATAACATCTTTTTACTCCTAAAGTCAAACAAAATTTTACACATCTCAAACATTGCCTCTCTTTAAGTCAAACTAGTCAAACACAGCAAATTATATCATAATTAATACTAATTTCTTATTTGCCTAAAAGATATATTTTAAAACAGTTATATTTGTATGAAAATGAATAAAGTTAAAAATGTTTTAATTTTTTTTTCATTGTGTAATATTTTCAGTATAAAATAGAAATTGTTTGAGAGAAATATGTTTATATACAGTATAATTGTGAAGTCCCTCCACAGTGAGCTATGTCCACATGGTTTGGCCAAGTGGTGATGTCATAACTTACTTTCATTCTTTCAAATTTCAGCCTGCTGTGATGTCATTACTTTGCTCTTGGAAGCTCCTCTCATTTCTCTGCTCATTGCAGAGGGACTATACAATCACACTGTATTTAGTTAATTTTTCAACCTACAATATTTAGTTGACATAAAAAAAAAAACTGTGCAACTGAAGATAAATTCAATTTGCATGTTATCATTTTTCTCTCTCTCTCTCTCTCTCTCTCTTTTCTTCCTCCTCCTCCCCCTCCCTCTCCCTCATTAAGATGTTTAAGTGATGATGAACTTACAACATAGAAATGATATGACACCGAAAAACAGTTTTAAAGGTTATTCATTACCTTTATAACTTTATTTCCCCAAGAATTTCATCCAGAAAAATTTGAGATCAAAGTCAAAAAATACAAGATTACAGAGTCAAATAAGAATGATATTTCTAGTTTTATAAAGGGTTTGTTTGGCAGGAAAACAGACAATTATAAATAGATAGATATTAACTTTTGAATATTTATTAAGAAATTTTCATGTACAAGATTTCAAACAATACAGTTTGCCATTTATGTTTTGAAGATGACATCATGCCAGTGACCTCCATTGCTGTGTAGACACTTTTGTAAGCGTGTCATGCATAAAGTGGTGCAATCTATTCTTGGGTGTGTTATTAATTTCATGAAGAATTTTTGTCTTAAGAATTTCAATATTTTGTGAGTAAAGAGTGTGGTATATGAAGATTGTCCACAAAATATTGAAACTCTTAAGGCCTGTAAGCTGAAATTCAATAATATTAACAATGGATCATTTAATGGACATAATAAAATGTTATGAAAATAGTGTAATCTATAATACAACCACCACAAAAACTGAATAAATTAGGAATAACATCATATTAAACTGTAATCCATATTCTATGTTCTATTTTTGAACACTGTCATAATTGACAGTGATAGTGAAAGCTGTTAAAAACATTTGTGTTTTTGGGTACCTTTTTTTTTACTGGATGTGGGTTTAATTGGTGTTATAGTATATTCTATGCTGGCAACATAATTTTATTTAATATTCCTCTGTTAAGTCACATGATTATAAATTACAATATTTTACTAGAGTGCCTTTGTTTTATTACATAAGCAAATCTGTTTAATGCTGTGCATTTCTGATTTGCATATGCATAACATATCATTTAATGCAGATTCAAATAATATAATATATTATCAATCTACATTAAACATATAACTCTAGTTATTAGTGCATATTCAAAACTAGAAAGAAAGTAAATTTATATTATTTCCCATTTTGGAAGAATTTTACTCATTATTTGAATCAATTATTTAATTTGTGAAGGTTTATAGCATGTTGTTTATTAAGAGAATTATTAGAAACTTATATGATCAAAATAATAGAAAAATATGCATCTAAAAATGAAGAAATTTAAATAAACATATCTGAGAAGAAATGATAACATTTTTGTCAGTATAACAATAGTCTTATCTGTAAAATAAAAACAAGTCTTTATCAGAATTTATATAACTTTTTTGTATTCCTATGGCAAAAATATTTTGGCTTATAAATAATATATGAAATTTGAATTTATGCATTTTGCACTTTTAAAAACCACAGCAGGCATTTCAGACTTTCCAGTCGTCTACACTCAATATCACCTGCTTATTAATGTGAGAAGCCGAGGGCTTAGGGGATAAAAGCTCTAGATCTTTTTTTTGGTGTCAAGAATAGAAAAACCTCGCTGAAGTGTCACTGGATGGCAGAATCCAAGTGACGAGGGGGCAGTGAGTCCATTGATAGGGTGTTGGCACCTACTAAATCCATACAAGAGCCGGTTAAACAGAAGCAACAATTTAATGAACTAATCAGTTACTATGAACTAATTTAATGATACAGTAAGCTAATACACTACAAGTTATTCTTCCTTTTCTTAGATAACATAATGTCCAGGACTATTCCTAAGTGCCAGTAGTTTTTCTATTCAGTCAGTACGACTGTATTAGATACATATTAAAGCCTTATATCTATGTCCTTATAGACAAATTGATTGAGAGAGTTTACATTTCCTTAAGTAATATACCTCTTAGACCAATGGGTCCGGATCCTGTTGTATGGGATGTTGGCGAAACACCAGGATTGGCAGTTAGTAGGGATGACGAGTAATCCTCCTTCCTTTCGTGTCAGGAACATCTTGGCAGAGAGATGGGAGAGAGTGGCAACGGAGCTTGTCCTCTTGCTTCTGGGAGAGTGTCTGTACCTCGATTGCCAGGTGCGACTCTTTTTATACACATTGCACATGAGAATTGACTCAGGTGACTGATTTAATGCACTCTAAGTTTGAGTTGTGTCCTGATTTGGTGATACAGGCCGTCAAGAAATGGATGCTCGACAAATTATGGCTATTTTCTATCCATTATTGTGGCTCACCTTACCTCATAATTCCATCTGTTTGACAGTTTCCCATCATTAATAATCGACTGTCTTGACACATAAGTCCAAACATCCTATTGACTGTTGACTTACATTAGACAGATATTTGATCGGTTCATCTATCAAAATATCGCAAGTGGATGGGAAAAAAGGAAGTCGGGTTTCTCCACTTCTGTATTAACTGTGTATTAGTTTAACTAATTAATCTAATTACTAAATTTTCCCTTACAGAATCTCACATTAGCATTCACAATTAACAAGGTATAATCAAGCTATTTTTTGAAAAAGATAGTGTGTCTTACACTAGAGTTTTTGAAAACAAAATTTAAATAAACTAGTGTGACGTAGGTCTCAATCTACGCCACTTACGGGCACTAGTCGGTAAGACCAGTTCTCTAACTTTAATAGGAGAGCGTTATCAAAATTGATCCGAACTGCGAAGTTCAGATGCTCGTCAGGATTGACACCAGTTTGTCAATTAAATTCCGCGGACAAACACGCGTATGAGATCTGATTCGTCACAGAATAAAGAAACATCCCAATTAAAAACGAAATAATAAATTTAATATAACAAGAAAATATATCATACAAAAATCTCAATGAACGAGAGAAAGAATTTCCACAATTAGCATGCAAATCGAGAGATAGCTATACTTCTATTATACCGAATGCGCGATTGAGAGAGAGAGAGCTCACAAAAACGTTATAAAACATACAACCTGGGTTAGTTGACGTTCGTCTTCTTATTCGGTAGGTAAGGGACACCTTGTAGATAAGTTCATGTACTTCTTCGATGGGAGATCAATATGTGCACAAATATAAAAGTATATTTACTAAGTTCAGACTCGGGACTTAGTCTCTGGGACTCGTTTAAGGGCGTTGGTCATCAGGAGGAAAACTGTGTGGAGTTTGACGCTTCGGATCTGTCGAAGAACTTCGTCGCTGAACTCCCCGAATTCGGACTAATTTCCCTTATATCTCCTGAATTTCGACCAATCATCGGCCAGTAACTCTTCCATGAGAATGGACGAAAGGGGGATGAATGAGGGGTAACCATTTCCCATCTGAGTGAGATTTTTAACCAGATAAGGGAAAGTCAGAGGATGTACGGACTTCCCTTAAAGGAAGTAACATCTGTTATCTATCTTTTCCCACGTCCAAAACACTAGTTTTTCACAAAAATGAAGTAATATTTTGTGTCGATATTTTAGCATTATTAATAAAATCATTAAATTAGACCCAGGGCCTTTCGGGTCTCACATTAGCTATTACTGTTATTGGACTTTTTACCATTAGTAAATGTAATACCATTAGTAATGAAACACATTATAGTAAACAATAAATGAAATTACATGTAAATTTTTGCCCCACTCCAAGTAGTCCCAGATAATAGAATAGGCATTTATGCAATCATTTACAATTTCAATTACTGTATTTCAAATTTATTAGTAGAAAAGTAGAAATATCATTTCAGTTATGACTGTTTTAGAAGACTAATGAATGTATAAAAATAAATATTTTAATTATTTTGTAGGTCGAGACACATTAATATCACAAAAATGCAGAGATTGATTTGACATTTTAATTCATTACTTACATTTTAAATAATTGATTATTTAATTTATAATAATAATACTGATGATTTTTTTTTCTTTTAGCATATTCCTTGATGTTTTGCAAAGTACAAATTTGTGAAATCTTATATATCAGAAAATAAAGTTCAAATTTTAAAGGTATTTAAATTATTATTATAGAAAATAACATTTAAGGTTTCTTATGTGTGATTTTAATTAAATACAATAAGCTACTTTCAAATTTGAAATCTAATTATATGATAATTTCTATTGTAATTTATAAATATAAATTTCAAAACAACTCCATGTTTTAAATTATTCAAAAATTATTATAGTTATTATGAACAATATTTTGAAGAGAATAGAAAATATTTGTAAATAACAATATTTAAAATTGAATTATAAGTGTAATTATCAAATTATCTCCATATTTTCTGATTCATTTCTGACTAGAGCAAGTTTCTTCTTATGTTGTTACTATCTAAATAGAGATGTAGATGCATGTACAAATTTTTCTACTAGGTGAAATTTGATCAGTTTTAGTTCTGAATTTAAAGAAGATTCAATTGGATAATATGGCATAACAAAAAAATTTAGAATTTCATGCATGGAAAGCTAGAACTTCTTTAAATACGTTTCACAAAACCTTTTTACACATTTTCTAGCAGTTTCTTGGGAGAACAAATGTTTTCAGTCATGCTTAATGGCCTTCTTCAGGTTCTAAAACATTGTCAGCTAACAAGAATTTGAAGGATGTTATTGTTTATAAAAGTTTCTTATTTCCTATGACATCATTGTTTTAAACAAGTGTTTAAAAGACAGACAAAATTGAAAAAATTTAACAAAATAGATGTGTGAATGGATACAAAATAAACGACTATTGCCACAAGGATAAAATAAGAAGATTAAAAAACTAGATAAATTGAGAGAAATGTTAACAAGTTTGCGACAAATGGATTAGTCTATTTTATTTAAGGGGTTATTGAAGAGTGATTTCCAAGCAGTGGAGAGCAAGTCGGCATCTCTGCTGTTAATACAATTTTCTTTGAGAGAATTTGCAAAGATTTCTAGTGTTTTCAATGTTCTAAGTTTGTTACTATCTTGTTAGGGTGGTATTGAACTTAATATTGTATGTATCATATTTATGTTTGGCTATACTTTTTGTAAGTGATCTGTTAGTTGAGCCTAGGTATTATTAAGTTTTTCTTTTTATTTTATCCTTGTGGCAATAGTCGTTTACTTTGTATCCATTCACACATCTATTTTGTTAAATTTTTTCAATTTTGTCTGTCTTTTAAACACTTATTTAAAACAATGATGTCATAGGAAATAAGAAACTTTTATAAACAATAACATCCTTCAAATTCTTGTTAACTGACAATGTTATAGAACCTGAAGAAGGCCATTAAACATGACCAAAAACATTTGTTCTCCCAAGAAACTGCTAGAAAATGTGTAAAAAGGTTTTGTAAAACATATTTTAGAGTTTATTTGGAAAACAGAAAATTTAGACATTTAATGACATTTAATAAAATATATTGTTTTGTTAATTTTAGATTCTGAAAAGAAATTATTCTGTAATTATTTTAAGCTCAGTTACTAGTACTTTTTGGTATGACTTGTTATATACTATTGTTCAGTCTAGAAGAATTTCAGGCCTAAAGTATAGCAATTTCCCTTTATTAGTTGAAAATTACAATCATAGACATCCCTCCTGAAATACATACTTAATCTCTTCTCTCTCAGCCTTTTTTAATTTTTTAACAAACAAACAAGATATCTGGATATGTTTAAATGGAATTCCTATTTGGGTTATTCCATCAGTATTACAAATTAATTTGATGCTTTTGTTTCCAGTTATAACATTCCTAAAATTTTCCTTCTTTTTAATTAGAAAATGTTAGGAATGTTATAACTGAACAAAAGCATTAAAAGAAATATAATTTGTAATTGTAATACTGATGGAATAACCCAAATAGGAATTCCATTTAAAACACATCCAGATATCTTGTGTTTGTTTGTTAAATTAAAAAAGACTGAAGAGGGAGAGGTAGACATCTCTCCCAAAATGCATACCTATGGTTGCAGTTTTCAACTAATAAAAAGAAATTGCTATACCTTAGGTCTGAGATTCTTCTAGACCAGTGATTCCCAAACTTTTTCAAGCCACCGTTCCATTTGTTCCATAAAGTTATACCTGACTCCCGTAACTCGATTTCTCTTGTGTAAGAAAGGCTTGGAAATATTTTTAGAAAAATTTTTCTATGAACCTCACACTTTGTGTCTTTACCATATATTATTCTCAACATCTGGAAACCATTAAATGTAATGTTTCTTCTTACCTGTTTTAACAGAGGAAAAAGAGAGGTTGTCAATGACCCCAACTTTTGCCTATGGTCACCATGCAGTATCCTGCCTCCAGCTCTCCCTTGCCACCCACTTGCTTCTTTTCATCCCCCTAGATTTAATCACTACCCACTTTGAAAACCACTATTCTAGACTAAGAATAGTGTTGTATAGAAAATCCTACCAAAAAGCACTGGTAACTGAGCTTAAAATAATTACAATTAAAGGACAAGAAGTTTAAACATGAAGTTATTAGAGAGGTTGAGGCGCACGTTTTAAATGTGTAAACGTGTACGTGTGACGTTTGGCGCCGCTTTCCCGTAAGCCTAAAAGTTTGACGATGGTGTTTGGAATGTCGAGCGTGATTCCACCGACTATTCAAACACCATTGTCAAACTTTTAGGCTTACGGGAAAGCGGCGCCGAACGTCACACGTACACGTTTACACGTTTAAAACGTGCGCCTCAACCTCTCTA